CCAGCCTCTGGTGGGCAGTCACAACACACCTGGCCATGTCCAAAGAGGTCCAGAAACCCGCCCCAAGTGTCAAAGCAGCTCAGAGGCAGGGCTGGGTGAGACTCTGCCTGACTCTTCCATTCTCCCAAATCTAAGCTAAGCAGTGATTCCTATGCCCACCTGGGTGGGAAGAAACCTGAGGCCTGCCTTGTAAATCCCCATAGGCTCAGTGTGCCTGGCATTGGGCTGGGCAGGGGAGACAGAGGGAATGCCAAAGAAAGAGCAGTTACAAAGGACAGACCACAGGCCCAGGATGAGGGGACTTTCAAGGGCTTGTTCATGGTTCTGTTTTTGCCCAAACTCTCTCGATCTACCTTTGAGCAACAGTAATTATCTCTTTGTATCCATCAACTTCATTTACCATCCCTGTCCAATTCTTTCCCAATAAGCCAGAGAATAAGAGTGCAGACATCAAAGGTCAGATTTTCATGGTGCTGATCCCATTTAACCCAGCTGTGTGGCGCTGAGTAAGCTACCTAAGCTCTCTGAGCCTCCATTTCCTCGTATGCAAATTGAGGAGAATACTCACCTACTTATTAGAAGGAAAGAAAAGATTGAGTACATGCCATGTGACAGGCCTTCAACAAGGGACCATCTCTTGTCATAAACAAGAGGCATATTCTGAACAAGTGACCATGGGTTTAACTTGTACACAGGTATTATGAAAACAATGTCTGCATTTCAATAAATATTTGTTATATAAATGAACAGGACTGTTCCCAGAGCCTGCTGCTTGGAGGAAACTGGGGAAAAAGGAACTCAAAAACAAGGTAAGAATGTCAGAGCAGGGAAGGGAAGGGAGGAGGGAGGGAGTCGTGACCTTGGGTCAAAGGCAGGCTGACCGATGCTGGCAGAAGAAAACTAAAACTTACTTTTCTGGGACTCTAGGAATTCCAACAAGTGAGACCAACAACAGATACTTTCAAATTAAAGAAAGGCATTGTTCCCAAACTTTGACCCTTGTGCACAAGGTCTGCAGAAAAGCTATCACTTTGTACTCAGATTCCTTGTAGATAAAATGGGGATAATAATATTGCCTGTCTGCCTGCCTAATTTGTACAAAGCTCTTACAAGAGGGTCTAGCACATATAGCAGATGCTCAATTGTATTCCTATTTAATAGTCTTGCTATCATTCGTCTGTAGTCTCTTTCCTTTTCTTGGGAACCAGCATTTCCTCATACACAAACTAGTTACCAAACAATGAAGATGACCACCACTTCCTCTGTATCATGAGTAACAGGCTACCTGGAAACACTGGAAAGATGGAAGATGCTTTCTTGACATGGGGTTCACCTTCCTACAAATACTTAACCTCTTCCCCCTTCCTCCACTAGACTATACGGCCCACAAGGGCAGAACCATGTCTGTTTTGCTTGCTCTTATATCCCTAGCACCTAGGAGTGTCTGATACATTAGGCACCCAATACCATTGATTGAATGACTCATGCATAATAATAACTCAACAAGCTCGGGTGAGTCAGCAAGAGCAGAAAGGTCAGTCGCCCTAAGTTCCTTGCCTTGGATGTGTGGCTGGTACCCTGACAGACCAGAAGCAATGTGGCCTGCAGGGTTTTTCCTGGGTCTGCACTCCAGCGAGCCCTGCCTTGGTGCAATGTTTTGCCTGTCTCTAAACCCGTTCGTACACATTCGCCTGTGTTACTAACTCTTTCTCTTTTCCGACCTGCAGGGAGGCTGGTAGCTTTAGTCTCTTACTACAGAGAAACAAAAGGAGGCCCAGAGAGCCCATGGGTCTCTCCCTAGGACACAGAGTTGATCGGGGACAGTGAGTGTCCCAAAAGCCAGGCCTTTGGTTCCACATCCTGTGCTGAGTAAAGTGCTAAATAATGTTGGTTAGTTGAAGGAAAAAATGAACAGATGGGAACAACAGTGCGATGTGATCATTTTCCAAAGGACTCAGTCCTGTCCATGGCTACGTAACAGAAAAAACTGCTCAGTGGGAGGTCCAAAACCGATACTCAAGGCAACAAAAGGAACAGGGAAAGGAAATCATTTCAGATAAGCAATGGACAAGACCAGCGTGTCCTCCTAGGTTGTCAGGGCACAGACCAGGGAATGTGAGGATTCATGCTGGCTTTGGAGGGCCTTCAGCATGGGGCAGGTGAGGGCAGGCTGCTCATCCCCCCGGCAATCAAGGGAACTACCAGAAATGGCATCTCCCCCATGAGACTGGCAAAAAGCCAAATTCTGACCTATCAAATGTGGGTGACCAGATGGGGGAAAACAGGGCTCTTGTGTACAGTCAGTGGGAGTGTAAATCGGCATGATTGTTCTGGAGGGCAATGTGATCGCATCTTATAAAACAGAAAATGTTCCTTAGCCTCCAAGGCAGCAAAGTTGCCTAGGGGTATAAATCCTGGAAGAGCTGTCACATAAGTGACCGAGAAAGCACGTGCGGATGTTCCTCCCAGCAGTGTTTGTAATATGGGAGAATAAAAAAGAAAAGAAAGAAAAGAAAAAAAATGCTTCAAGCACGGTGTCTCAACAGGGGAATGGTTAACTGGCCCTTGAAAAATACTCGGCAACTGTTCATTGTTCATTCTCCTCTGATCCGACTTCCCACACACACACTCACCCCACCCACTTCAGGTTCATTTTTATGTTTTATCAGCCTATTGCCCTGACCCCCAGGAGAAAGTAGAATTCACATGTGAAAAAGGAGGGTCAGACTCCCTGTAAAGCTTTTCTATGTCCTTTGCCCAGGAGAGGTTCCCATTACAATCGGGCCTGGACCTCAGCCATGAGCACGGGGAGGGAAGGAACCAATTTCACTCCACTTAAACCAATTTGCTGGGCCCAGACAGCAGCTAATGAGCAGCCTGCGCCCTCGGAGTCATCGATACCACTTTCCAAATCAAGTTACCAAATTGGTCTTAAAACCACTTCAAAGGGGCCGGGCTGACTGTTACCAGTGAGGCATCCTGCCGGCCATATGGCCGCGCTTCTTCCCACTGGCATGCTCCTCCTCGGTATCAGCTGCAGAGGGGATGAGCTGGCTGGCTGCCTTTGTCTCTGCTTTGGATCCCTCCTTCCCCTGAATGCCTGATCGTCCATAATGGAACTTGGGTCACCATTAAAAAAAAAAAAAAAAAAATGGGACAACTGTGGCAGAGGGATTCAAATAAAGGAGGGCCCATACAGGCAGCACAGTCACTAACACAACAGCCCGGTGAGGTCAGTACTCTTATTGTCCCCATTTTACAGACAAAGAAACTGAGAGGATGAAAGCTGGGCAAGGTCTCACCATGGCTAGCAAGTGGCATAACCAGAAACTGAACCTGCGGCTTCCTTAAACCACAATCCATGCTCAGCCTCCAAGCCATGCAGGTTTTATAGTTTAGATCTTCATGACTGACATTCCCTTCTCTACAATCAAGCATAAAAAATAGTCAAATGGGCCAGGTGTAATGGCTCATGCCTATCATACTAGCACTTTGGGATGTTGAAGCAGGAGGATCGATTGAGCCCAGGAGTTCGAGGATGCAGTAAACTAGGATGGCACCACGGTACTCCAGCCTGGGCCACCCCCATCTCTTTAAAAATAAATGGTCAACCGAACCTTGAACAAGAGCCAAAAATAATTTTCCTTAAGAGGCTTTTTGTTACTAATCATAAATATAGCCCCTACTTTTTAGAGAGTGCCCATGGAATGAAAACCGCCAGACTATCTTGCCTCTGTAATCACACAAAAGTCCTGAAGTAGATAGGATGAATTTTTCTCGCACATGTGGAGTAATATGCTCCACGTCCTATAGCCAGGAACGGAACACTCATCTTCCACATCAGGCATGAAATTCACTGTAAACCCTCAACTCAGTATTCTTTTCCCTAAACCCAACTGTCCATCAACCTGTCTGTGTGCAAGCAGAAGGCTGTGTGGAAGAGCCCACGCCAACCCTATTAGGTGGTCTCTAGATTAGTGGTTCCCAACAAAGGGAGCCTTTTGCACACACATATGCACACACCACCACCACCACCACCACCACCACAAAAGAACATGTGGCAATGTCTGGAAACACTTTGGGCTGTCCCAACTGGAAGCTGGGATTGCGATTGACAGTGCTACTAGCATCCCGTGGGTAGAGGCCAGAGATGCTGAGCTACATCCTACAATACAATACGCAGGACAGCCCCCACAACAAATCATCTGACCCAAAATATGAGCAGCGCCAAGGCTGAGAAACCCTGCTGTAGACCCCACCTATGTCTCTGCAATTTCTTCATGGTCTTGATATCATACAAAGAGTGTTTCTTTATCAATCAATACAATAAAGTAATACTTACTCATTTGCATTAAAACTGAGCACGACTAATTTTTGCAGCTAATGGACCCACCTGGGCTGGCCAGAATAAAGCACTAGGCTGGAATTCATTGCCTGAAATGGTGCTAAGATCACTTGAGAGATGTGTCCTTCCACTTAAGATTACCAGGAGGCTGCTATGTGCCAGACCCCTCACTAGGATCTGGGGATGGCGTCAGTGGGCAAGAACGCTCTGTGCAGGACCTCCTTCTGTCCCCAGAGGACACACATCATCTTACTGAGTCACCAGGTGGTCCATGGGACATTTCCAGGCCCCCCACAACAGCACATTCTCTTCTTTCAGGACCTCAGGAGAGAGGCTCAAGACAGAACAAAAGGAGACCTGGGAAGATGGGTCACTCAACTTGGAGAGGAGGCCCTGAGGCAGGCCCTGCTCCCTCCTCAGATTTTATTTCTCAAATCCTAAGGAATAATAACCACAGTTAAAATGACAGTTTATACAAATCTCAGCATTGGAGATGAGTTTCATTACAGGTTTTCCAAAGCCACTTCAGAACAGCCACTACCTAAACAGCACACAGGACAGGAGAGCTGATGCCCAGCTTCAAGGAGTGACTGAATCTCACAGTCTTTCCCACTGAAAGACAATAAAGCTGGGGGTTCCAATACTTAAAGCAAAATGAGGCACCAGCTGGTCAGGCAAGTCAGAATTTGAACCCAGCTCTACTGAATGAGAACCTTCAACACTGACACCAGGTGGCTATCACTCATTCTGGTCAACAGTACATGGTGGACCTCAGAAAGCTCTGGACACTCCCTGGGCCTCAGTTTCAGCAGCTGTAGAATGGTTAATCATGTTCCCTATGGCAACCTTGGGGGGCTCTTCCAGGTCAAGGGGGAGAGGTGAGTGACATCAGTTTCAATGTATGAAGATGGAAATTAGGTGCTTTCCCATCACTGGCTGTGTAGTTGCCTGCAGGAGAAGCGTTAATGAGAGGTGGTTATGGGTCAACAAGAACAGAACGACACCTGATTTCTTTCCTGGCATCACAGGCAGATGAACCTAGGTTGAGATGCCAGCTCTATGACCTTAGGCAAGGCATGGAAATTCTCCATGATCCCTTCCACATTCACACAACGAGGATGACACTTCCCAACGGGCAGAACTGACAGGCGAAAGTGTCCGGCCAAGGCAAACATGGCCTTGTGAGTCTTAAGAGCCACATGCAGGGAGTTACAGAGCTGGGGACATGGGATCACACTCTGAGGGCCCAACATCTGTGGGCCTGGGGACCTGGGACTCAGGGTGCCCTCGGGAAGGGAGTTGTCCCCTGACAAAAATGGGCCCACAGGGCTGGTGCCCTGCAGGCTGGTTCAAAGAGCCAAGGGCCCTAAGGAAGTCAAAGGGGATGGTCTCCGGAAGGAGAGGCATGGCCCACTTCCCAAAAGAGAAAACTCCTACCCCACATCCATGGCCCAGAGCTGAGCTGGTGCTGGACGAGGGGCTGTGCAAGAAAGAGGGGCCCCTCAGGCCAGAGAGACACCTGGTACCAGAGCAGGAGACTGAGTGTGGCCTGGAAAGACATGCATTGCCCTAAATCAGAATAAAATTTGAAAAAGGCATGATGATCACAGTATTCACGTATATACCAAAACACCAAAATAATAATAAATCTATAAAAAGTAATGCCCCAAAATAGCAAGCTGGCTAAATAAATCATGACATTTCTACCACTAGAGTAATGACAGCAAACATTTACTGAGGATTTACTATAGACCAGATACTATTAAGTTGACCTTTTATAGGTCAACAATTCAATGCTGCCAAATTCATATGGCTCAACATAATATTTTAAGTGCTTTACATGTATCCATTCACTTAATCATCACAGCAACCGTTCTGAGGTACTGTGTCAGAATACCTGCCACACTCCATGCCAATGAAAGAGATGTCCATGTCGGAATTTCCTGGAACCTGTGAATATGTTGCCTCCCATGGCAATGGAACTTCCTAGATGTGATTAAAGCTAAGGACCTTGAAGTAGGGATTATTCTGGATTATCAGCGTGGCCCCAGTCCAATCACATGAATCCTTAAAATTAGACAATCTTTTCTAGCTGAGATCACAGAAGTGAAAAGAAAGAGGGAGAAGAGATTTAAATCCTAAAAGGAACTGGACCCACCATTGCTGGGCTTGAAAATGGAGAGAGGAGGCCATAAGCCTAGAGGGGAGGCTTCCAGAAGCTCAGTGCAACTGGACAGCCAGCAAGAAAACAGGATCTCAGTCCTACAACCTCAAGGCAACGAATTCTGCCAACACCCAGGATGAGCAAGGAAACAGACTCTCCCCCGCAGTCTCCAGAAAGGAAGGCAGCCTACAGGCTCCTTGATGTGAGCCTGGAGAGATCCGTGTCTGACCTCTGCCCTAGATAACTGGACATGAGCCAGGCACAGTGGTTCACACCTGTCGTCCCAGCACTTCAGGAAGCCAAGGTGGGAGGATCGCTTGAGTCCAGGAGTTCCAGGCTAGCCTGGGCAAGATAGTGAGACCTCGTCTCTACAAAAAATACAAAAAATTAGCCAGGCGTGGTAGCTCACGCCTGTAGTCCCAGCTACTCTGGAGACTGAGGTGGGAGGATCCGTTGAGCCCTGGAGGTCAAGGCTGCAGTGGGCCAGGATCAAACCATTGCACTCCAGCCTGGGTGACAGAGCAAGACTCTGTCTCAACACCGTCCCCGCTCCCAAAAAAAAACTATGCATTAATATATAATGGTGTATAAATGCTAAATTTGTGTTAATATTTTATGGCAATCATAGAAATTAATAAGTGGGATAAAAAGCATTCGTAGCCACACTTGGAGGCAGATGAGAATATGAATCACAATGCCCAAGGTTGCTCAGCCATGAAGGAGCAGAGCCAGGTCTGACCAGCTCCTGGGACCTCTGGCCCTGCTGTTCTGCTCTACAGTCTCATGGAAGAACAATTCCGAATCCAGTTCCCACATAGCAACACAAAGACTGCATTTTGGGCTGACTCTACCAAAAGTTAGGCTTTAAAAAAAATGCAGTTATTATTTTCAGTGATTAAAATTGTTAAAAGATCTTGGCCTGCCCAGGCCTGGATGATGGCAATAAAAATGTGGCTAGAGATGAACTAGCATAGGGGTTGTGGGGCGGGGGAGTTGGGGAATAATGAGTCTAAAGAGACCAGGCCTGGTATTCAGCAGGAACTCACTCTCCTGCAGTGGTTTTGTGAAAGGCTGAAATGGTCCCATAGCAGCGAGTAAACAGATGCCTCCCCATGAGGGCAACTGTTACCCCCCTGTGTCTAGGCATGTTCCCTGGGGGAATATTCTCTCACACACTTCCACAAAATGCAGGGTTCAGGCCTGACACAGAGTCTCAGAACCCGGCATCATGTATCCCAATGTCTCAGACTCGAATATTTGACTATCACCCCCAAGGGATCAGAAAGTTAGGAAAGTTAGAAAACAGTGGGCCCAGCAGGCAGGTGCCTTTGGACTTACCTAGAAGAAAGGAAAAGCTCTGCTTTGGTCAGGCCTCTAAAGATATGGAAAGTATGTGGAAAATGTATAGACCCTCAGGCCTGCTTCAATCATCTCTTCATCTTCTCTGTTAGCACATGGCCTCCGGTAAGCCACTTACCTCTCCAAATCTCAGTGTCCTGGCTGTAAAATGGGAACACCAAGGGAGCCATGTGCCATGTAGCTCAAAGGAGAAATGATTCAGCCTCCACTTAAAGTACCATCACCATGGCTGTAAGTGCCAAGGACACCTGCGCCACCTCGGGAGAAGGCTCCAGGGAGCGTGGTCAGCTGCAGAAGCAAAAGGTATGAGTGTCAGTGCCCTGGAGTCAAAGGCAGGCCTCACAGAGCACAGCACTGCCAGGGACTCGAGGCTTTGAGAGACCCCGCACCCGGCTCCCGTGCTGGCTGACATGGCTTTTCTCCAGCACCTCCACCTGCCGGACCATACCCTGTCCACCTCTGCTCCACCTGAGGTCCTAGGCCCCCATCCATGAAGTCTGTGTGCCTTAACCATCCCATATCAGGGTGCAGGGCTACGGTGCTGGTTGGGAAAGGGCCGCAGCCCCTCCTTTGTACATGGAACCCTTAAAAAATGTTGGTCAAATGAGAAGACAGGTGAGGATAGGGGAGAAGAGCCACTGGGTTGCCAAGACAGACCCCAGCTCTTTCTTCCTCCATAACCGCAAAGCCTTGGTTATGAAAGCAGAAGCAGGAAGACCCCTTGGTCCAACCCTCATAGTCCAATTTAACTTCCCAGATAGAGAAAGTACACACCACAAAAGAGAAGGGGCTTCTGTGATATTACCCAGGAGTCTTAAATTGCTGCATCCCTCTCAGCCTCAGTTTCCTTATCTATGAAATGGGCATGCTGCCCTCCTGTGCACCTCACCAGAGGAAGGACTGCTCCAAGGAGACGCTCAACAAACCTCCCTGTGTGAGCATACATTCTGCCACAGGATGACTGCACCATCGAACAAGACCCACTCACTTGCCACACACAGACCCTGGGACAGAGGAACGCAAGGGCAATAAACCTAAGATTTTGGACATTAGTAAAAACAGACTAGAATCTTCATTCATTTTCAGGGACACTTCAGTCTTTCTCTTCCGTGTGCCCCGGTGCTGCAGCTTTGAAAACAAATGGCATTTCTTTTTAAGGTGTCATTTTTCTTTAAACACCTTAAGAAAAAAATGTTAGAATCCCAAAGGGATCTTACATTTGAGTTCTTGTGTAATCTGTTTTGCTAGAAGCTTTCAAATATATATATTTTTGAAGCCACAGGACACAGCCCCAGGGTGAGGCCTTAGGTTCCTATCAGCAGCCCCTCAAGGCTCTGGGAGCATCTCTTCTTTTCATCTGGAGCAGCTGTCCTTGAGGAACATGCCGTGGACACAGCTGTCTGAGATGAGTAAGCCTCATCTCTGGCCAAAATGAAACACACTGTGATTTGGGGTCTTTCTGTCTCAGGATGGGGCTTCCTCGGAGGCCTGAGGCCATGCGGGACGGCATCCTTTCCCTGGAAAGCGCTGAGATTGTCAATCTCGCTCACATTTGATCAGGGCTTGTTGCCTCTTCATGCCCCCCGCTGATGAAAGCAGGGCTGGCGCTGTTTCTGGAATTGATGTGAGGAATACTGCCGCCATCCCAGCCCTAGGAAGAAACAATATCGTTCTCCAGATGCCTATGCTCCTTCTGCAACACCCCAAGGAGGTCACTTGAAGAGGTTACAAGGCCAGTGATTCCCAGCTGGCTTCTGCTGAGGCAAAGAGACTGATCTTGGAAGAATCAGACCAGGAGCCTGATGAGGAAAACCGAGGGACTCCAGTGTCGACTTCCAACAGGCTCTGAACTAGACGGAGCATGTAGCATGATTTAGCGTGACAGGGACTAAATTCTAGCTCTGTCACTTTCGCAGTGAGACTAAAAAATGTCTTCCCTCTCTGAGCCTTGGGTTTGACATCTGTAAACCACGGGTAATAAATAATGCCCTTGTTCGATGCCCATAAAGACTGAATTGAATTGGGGCCAGGCTCACTCCTGTAATCCCAGCATCTTCCTTCAGAAGGAAGAAAGCATAATCTATATGCTGGCTGGCTCTACGCAGCAGCAGGCATCACAGGGGGTTTTTGTCTGCCTTTGCTTCTGAAGGTTAACCCACTACCTATTGACAGAGGACAGGTCGGTCTCTCTTTGTCTCTCTGTCTGTGTGTGTGTGTGTGTGTGTGTGTGTCTTTTTCCCAGGGGTGGGCATTTTCATTCAGGCAGGTGGCACCCTGCCCAAGGAGCATGGATCACTGAAGGCCAGACTTCGAGACTAGCCTGACCTACATGGCGAAACCCTGTCTCTACTAAAAACACAAAAATATGCTGGGCGTGATAGCACACACCTGGAATCCCAGCTACTCAGGAGGCTGGAGGCACGAAAATCACTTGAACCCAGGAGGCAGAGGTTGCAGTGAGCCAAGATTGTGCCACTGCACTCCAGCCTGTCTAAAAAAAAAAAAGAAGAAAAAAAGAAAAGCATGAATTAGATAATGAGCCAAAGCATCTCAAGATTTGCACCCAAGACTCATCAGTTCCCTTGCCCCTGCTGTCAAATTAATTGCAGTTTACTCGTAGAGGTAAAGAGGGTGCCCAGAGCAAAGGGACTGAACCAGATAACTCAAGGTAATCACCCAGTGGATGATGCGGGCTGCAAGCCCGAGGGGTTAGGTGACTTGGTCTGGACTTAAAATGGGGACAGGGAATTAGATACCAGCATTCCTTTTTCTGATTTACAAATCCTTTCCTGCATAAAACTCTTCCAAGGCACATATGTGAACATACACAGTTATGCTTCAGCTGGTCCCTCCCATTCAGAGACTCCAACCAACAGCACACAGGCTGTTTAGGGAGAAGAGGTTATTCTGTGGCACGGGTGGCTCTGCAGAGGTGGGTGCCATGCCAGGTCCCATGGGAGGGTATGTTCCCAGCGAGGAGTTTAGAGCAAAGACCTGCTCAAGTTACACTAGGGGTGAGGTTCCTTCTCGAAGGCACCCTCAAGCAACTGCTCACTGGAAGCAGGAGAGGAAGCAGCTCAGCCCTGAAGGCTGCAAGAGCTCAGCAGTGCCTACTGCCTTTGCTGACCTTTGAAGGTGGACAGTTATGGCGGGAGGGAAATGATTTCTCTGAGGCCAAGACATGGAGCTGTAGGACGCACGGATCCAACCACGAACCAGATTCAGAGAGTGTCAGGCCGGCACTGGGGCGGCCGCAGGAAGCCAAAACCACACCCGGCACCACCTTCCTCCTTTCTGAGAAAGGCCATCAAAGCAATATGAGAGCAGCTGGCATGAGGGCGTGATCCTCATTCGATACAGGAGAGTTCTAGCCTGGGTACTTCAGGGCTACAGTTCTGCTTAGAGAAAACACTGCCGGCCGGGCAGGGTGGCTCACGCCTGAAATCCCAGCACTTTGGGAGGCCAAGGCAGGCAGAACACCTGAGGTCGGGAGTTCGAGACCAGCCTGACCAACATGGAGAAACCCCATCTCTACTAAAAGTACAAAATTAGCCAGGCATGGTGACGTATGCCTGTAATTCCAGCACTTTGGGAGGCCAAGGCGGGCAGATCACCTGAGGTTGGGAGTTTGAGATCACCCTGACCAATTAAGAGAAACCCCGTCTCTACTAAAAGTGCAAAATTAGCCAGGTGTGGGTGGTGCGCACCTGTAATCCCAGCTACTCGGGAGGCTGAGGCAGGAGAATCACTTGAATCTGGGAGGTGGAGGTTGCGGTGAGCCGAGACCGCACCATTGCTCTCCAGCCTGGGCAAAAAGAGCAAAACTCCATCTCAAAAAAACGGAAAAAAAAAAAAAGAGAGAGAGACAGAAGACACTGTCTGTCCAACTCTTCCCTCAAGACCATTCCTCACTCAAACCCCTTCCACCCTCACCTGGCCATCCCTGACAAGATTCTCAATCTTGGCCCACACCTCCCACTGACACCTCTCAGGTCATGAAGCTACCAGTTACTCCAGCTTCTGGTCAAATCCACCCCTACCAGGATGATCATTACAGCCAAGATCATCAGAACATGTACTGCATGCTGGACACCGTTCTCCGCTCCATACGGAGGAGGACCTGACTTTGATAAATGGTCACGATGGCCCTCTGGGATACATACTGTCCCATTTTACAGATAAGAAAACTGAGGTTTCTCAAGATTAAGTAACCTCCCACGATTGTGCAACCAGAGCTCCTGCTCTGTGCCATCGGGCCATGCATGGCTCACCTTCTTCTGGGCTTTGGACCAGATCCCTGAATACATATGTGACTCTGTCATCTATCAGTTGTGTGACATCAGACAAAGCACTTCATCTCTCTAAAACTTCACTTCTTCCTCTCCAACAGGGGATCATAACAACACCTGCCTGAATGAAAATGCCCACCCCAGGGAAAAAGATACACACAGACACACACACACACACACACACACACACACACCCCGACCTGGCCTCTCTAAATAGGTAGTGGGTTAACCTTCAGAAACAAAAGCAGACAAAAACCTCTTGTGATACCTGTTGCTGTGTACAGCCAGCCAGCATATAGATTTTGTTTTCTTCCCTCTGAAGGAAGAGACTTAAAAGAAGAAAATGTAGGAAAGGACCTGGTTGGATAACAGAGCACCCAGGAACAGCAGTGAAAACCGGACAGAACTCTCTGATCTTGTTTCTAGCCCAACCGCATCTGGCCCCAGGAGCAACCAAAGTGGAGACTGCCTAAGCAATTACCAAATTTTATCAGTTCCACCCCAGCTCCAGGCTCTCCAAAAAACCATTGACAAGTCAAAGCCAAGAATTTAGCAGCTTCTCAACTCTTCCCCACACACCTGGAGGTAGACCTTTATCCCAGGGAACAAAGTCTTCATCCTGTTAGAAATCTCTGAAAGGAACATGTAAACAAAGGTTGCAGAGATAAGGAAGCCTGCCATGAAGGAGTCAGTTTGGAATCTCCAGCCCAGAAATTGGGAGAAATGTTTCTATTCACTCCTTCCTGACCTAAGACCATTT